CTTATAATCTTAATACTTCTACTTTATGAGTGATACAAAAGCTTTGATGGGATCAGGGCAATAAGCAGCGTAACTGTAATTTGCTGTGTGGCCCCATATCTTTAGTGCAGTAAAACCTACCTGTTTTCATCACTCATTATCTTGGGGAGCAGGAAACCAACCCCTCAAAAAACCTGCAAAAAACAAACAAACTTTCCAGGGCAAACCAAACTTTTGAGGGAAAAAAATTGCATTCAAATGAATGTCCTTGGGAGAAATGTAGTTTGCATTCCCTTGCTCATGCTGCCTTTCAGCTATATAAATTTAGTGATCAGATACCATGGAACAAATTCATTTCTCTTTTTTGAATGGTATTTGATCAGCAAGCATGACACGGATGAAAAGGACTGAAATTCGGAGGCGCATGCAGGTTTGCTGGTAAGTTTTGTCAAAGCAAAACAGTCTCAGGATTAATTGTAGCTGGGTGAGGTACAATTGCAAATTTGTAGACGTGAATCCCATAAAGCAGTATTTTCCAACAAAATTATTGTTTTTACTGATCTGTACTCAAATTTTTGTAAAAGTATGAATGTTTGATGATGCTAATTCTATTTAATCTGGCATTTTAGCATTTCTTGCTTCATTTCTGCTGACCCATATAATAGGATAGTACTGGGCGTATGACTTGCAGCTGCAGTGTCTTAAATGATCCAGCGTATAATCATAGAATGGTTTGGGTTGGAAGGGACCTTGAAGATCATCTAGTTCCAACCCCCCTGCCATGGGCAGGAACACCTCCCACCAGGTTGCTCCAAGCCCCATCCAACCTGGCCTTGAACACCTCCAGGGATGGGGCAGCCACAGCTTCTCTGGGCAACCTGGGCCAGGGGCTCACCACCCTCAGGGTGAAAAATTTTTTTCCTCATATCAGTTCTAAATGTCCCCTCTTCCAGATTGAAGCAGTTTCCCCTCATCCCATCACTGTACGCCCTTGTAAAAAGTCCCTCTACAGCTTTCCTGTAGGCCCCCTTCAGACACTGGATGGGGCCTTAAGGTGTCCCCGGAGCCTTCTCTTCTCCAGGCTGAACAACCCCAACTCTCTCAGCCTTTTGTCATAGGAGAGGTGCTCCAGTCCTCTGATCATCTTTGTGGCCTTTTCTGGACCTGCTTCACCATGTCCATGTCTTTCCTATGTTGGGGACTCCAGAGCTGGATGCACTACTGCAGGTGGGGTCTCACCAGAGTGGAGCAGAGGGGCAGAATCCCCTCCCTTAACCTGCTGGCCACACTTCTTTTGACACAGCCCAGGATACGGTTGGCCTTCTGGGCTGTGATCGCATATTGCCGGCTCATATTGAGCTTCTGGTCAATCGGCATCTCCAGGTCCTTCTCCTCAAGGCTGCTCTCCAGCCATTCTCTACCCAGCCTGGATTTTTGTTTGGGATTGCCCTGACCCAGATGTAGGACCTTGCACTTGGCCTTGTTGAATTTTATGAGATTTGCACAGGCCCACCTCTCCAGCCTGTCCAGGTCCCTCTGGATGCCATCCCTCACCTCCAGCGTGTTGATCGCTCCACACAGCTTGGTGTCGTCAGCAAACTTGCTGAGAGTGCACAAACAGATATAGTTGCATAAACAGGTACAGTTTGGCTGTAGTCTATAGTGCGAGAGCTGAAGCATACTTCACTACTGAGAGTATCTCATGGTAATTTAGTCGTCACTTTTTTTTATATTATTATTTTCTGTTACATTGCTCAGAATATCGCTGTAGTGTGTGATCTAGAAGCTTTTAGTTAGTTCTTTTTGTTCAGCTTTTATGTCTTCCATGCTCTATATTTCTGTTTCCTGAAAAATTCTGGGCAACTTGTGATGTTTTACAAAGGTTTGGGGGTGGGGGGCATTTTTCTCGGAATATTGTTGTTTTCGTAGACATTGGTCACTGAGTTTATCTTGATCCAGTTAAATATTTCTTGGAAGTTTCCAAACACTTCCAGAGCTCACATCTAAGGCAGTTCTAATGCACCTATAAAGAGTTTTAATTAAAAAAAAAAAAAAGCCAGATGTTCAAAGGTATTTTTTTTTTTTAATTTTATTTTATATAGACTAGATGTGAATGTATCCTGGTCAATTTTTGAAATTAATAGCAATAGTAGCAACAACAGTATTTGAACATTAAACTGTGGTTAGTGTAGATGGAGCCAGTGTGATATAAGTTCTTGTGATTAAATCCCTCAGCACTGTAATACGCAGAATATTGGAAACTGAGTTGAAAATAGTAACACAGCTGTATATGTGGCTATAGCAATAGCCACATAACATGGATAAAACACAATTTTGTGTTTATAAAAGATACAAAAACTATGCAGAAGAGCAACAAGTTTCTCTATACATTGTAAATACCGCTCTAGTGTGGTGCAGTCTTCAGCTATGCATCGTGTTAAACAAAACAGGTGTTTTTAGCATTGTCGTATAAGAATTTTGGCAAGGGGTTTTTGGGTTGAACCCCAGGGGATTTGTCATCTTCATAAAATGGTTTGCAGCAGTTGTGAGGATTGCATCTCTTTCTTTCAGTCCTCATTTCTATCTAAGAGAAGAAGTACCAGCTAATCTCCTGCTAATGTTTGTGAGATGGAGAGCATTGATGTGAAGTGATGAGCTCGACCTGGAGGAGGGGCTGGGTTTCATCTCCTCCATCATCAGTGTGCCCTTGACCCGTTGTGTTTTTACACCCTGAAAATTTCTGCCCCTGTGAATTGTCAGAAACAGGGCAAGACAATGAAGTCCTGATGCTCTCACGTGGGTTTTCTTGTATCTCACTCTCTTTCCAAAGTCAGATTCGCCGCTTGCTTTCAGGTCATCGATAGAATGGTGTGAAACACTACTGAATTGTAAGAACTAAAACTTAACCGAGTTCTCGTGAGCATTATGGAACGTGAATTTGACGTTTTCTTTCTCGCTGGCCTATTTAACTCCACTTGCACGAAAGGAGTGTTCTTGAGTTCGCAAATATTTCTGGGATCATGAGGTGGTTATACATAAAATATTCGTGTATGGGTAACTGTGATAATGCATTGAAGCGTTGATATTTGGAAGAGGATGGTTTGGGGAGGCACAACCTGCAGTGAATTTTCAGCTGTTCCTATAACCACGGCAAGAGGCAAGTTTGAGAGGTGATACGGGGATTATCTAGAAAAAGCAAAGCCACCATCAATACAAAGCATGGTAGGTAGGCTGTAGACTATTTAGGGTAATCAGCTTTGGAAAAACCTATAATTAGCTTTCTGTAGTGAATAAAGGGTGATTTAAATGGTGGTGGACATGGCTGTAGAACGTGCTCCGAAGCACCAAACTGGTTGGCAGAGAGCAAGGTTTGCTTCGTCCAAGTAAAGTGCAAATTTGGCTGTGTGCTTTTGGTACAGCAGGGATATTTTTGGTGAAGTTTCATTAAAAAAACCCCACAACTTCGAAGTAGTTTTCTGCATTGTTGTAAATTACAAGTATACCTGACATTCCTTCTTTCTATTCATCATTATATAATAAATTTAATTTGACATTTTGATTTTTTTCCATGCTTCAGGATATAGAAAAAAAGGTAAGTAGTTAAGTAAGGAACAACCAAAAAAACCAAAATTACTATTTTATTCTTCATCTTTCTGCAAAAACAGTGCAAATCTTGACACAGAGAACTGAGTCCTGTATCTATAGAACAAGTATGGCACAACGTGTGGTGTAAGTTTTCTGATGTGCTTCTATGAGCACGACCTGGACATATCATCTTAACTAGTAAGAGTACAAGAGTTTATCATTTTACACGATGCTGCTAAAATAGGAACTTTTTGCAGTTGGCTTTGTGGTATCAGTTCCTGGGTGAAAATTACATGTTAGAGGTAAATGACTAATGCTGAATAAGCGATTGTGGTAACGACCACTGATAGTTAATGGCTATTCACTAAAGGTATTTCATTATTAAAACATTGTGAGCCTGGAATGAATCTCTGCTGATAATTTAGGCATTAAATCCTCCATATATTTTTAAAAATCATTTGTCTAGTGTTTCCTTTGGAGGACTTGTAGCTTTGTATATATTCTGTGCACTTGTGTGCTCTTTTAATGTATTTTAAAATTCCTACTGAGTCCCCTTAATACTACGTAATAGAACGTACTGTGGATGAAAAGCCAAACAAATGTCAACTTGCTCAGTAGTGCTGGAAGCAGCGTCTCTTGAATGAATACACAAGTCGTATTCGTATTCGAAAGACAGATGTTCAAAAGTCTTCTGTATTATTTTAAGTTAGTGGACATGGGAGTGATCCTACAGCGAAGGGTTTCAGCTTACTTAGCTGGATACTTCAACCGATCTAGGAGTTTCCGGAGGAATAATTACTAATTAAAAAGGACAGCAGAGTTTTAGATGTACTTTTTAGATCTGCTTTTGCAGATATGTAAGCGTTTGGTTCTTTGCAAACATTCACGTGTTCAGAATTAAGCACATGCTAAATGCATTCCTGAACTGGGGTTTTAGGGGAAAACCAGCTACTTCAAAAGAATTCCTTTTACCACTGCCCACAAATGTACGGATGCGAGTTCAGCTTTGCTCAGGTCAAAATATCCACTTAGTAACAGTCAACAAATAAAGTTAAATATTCAGGCTCTGTATATATTTTGTTCGGTAGCTTAACCATGTTTCCCGAAGTTCGGAAGTGATCCGCAAAGTTGATTTTTTTAAAAAAAAAATAAATAAAAAATTCATCTCAGCGGGATGTGTGACATTTCCAAATGCATTTGGACAAACTATGGCACAGCTGTTGAGGAGGGAAGGAAAAAACCCGGTACAATAGACAATCTCTTTACATTTTCAATGCAGCAATCATCATCTTATTAATGTACTGTTTGCCAAAAACTAATCGACTGCAGTTCTCAATCGCAGTATATTCCTTACTGGTACAATTTATAGTAGATGTTGTGCTTTGCAAGTAATGCTCTTTCTTGATCCAGTTTTATCTTTCTATTTCTTTTTTTAGGCCAAGCAGCTGGAAGAGAAAGACAGGGAACTGAAGAAGCATGATGCCTACTACAAAGAGCAGCTGGCTCGACTGGAGGAAAGGGTAAGCCGCCTTTCCCTTTTAACGAAGAGTTCTCGCGTCGTTTCTGCTGCTGACTTTCTGGTTATGTTTTACCGTTAAATAAGATGACTTTTCTAAGGAGATAAAGATTAAAACTGTGGCCAGAGGGTGGTGGGTTTTTTTTGTTTTAACTGCTACTGTTTCTGGCTTAATATTGACAAGATGGAGGCTTTAATGTTGAGAATATTGTTTTCTTTACTAAGTTCTCGCATTTACAATGAGATTTCATGTCGCACTAATTACATACAGAGAAATAATCCTAACGAGGTTACTTATATACCAGCACTGATAGAGAGCCAGGGAATGAGTATCACCAAGTAATCTTAAAATTGCCTGTGAAATGTGAAGATATAAACTGAATTTCTGCTTTTGTTGCAGTCCACAGTTGCTTTCGTTGGGTGGAGTTAGTGGTTCCCCTAAAAGCCACCAGTATCTAGTGAGTTTAATGTTAATTGCAAGTTGTTTATGCCATGTTTAAAAAGCACTTCTGTGTCTTTTTCTTCACGGTAGACTTGAAACTAAACTGTACAGAACAGTTTGGTAAGCTGTTTGAAGTGCTTACCATGTTTTAACATATTGCTGTTGACATTCCTGTTCTTTATAGGGTATTATTTTATAGGATGTTAGTTTCAAATAATTACTGCTGTCATCATTTTCTAGATCCCAGGTTGCTTGTAACCTTCAGCCTGAGTACATTTGCCTCCTCTCTCCCTCTGCCTTCTTCCTGAGCCTACTTATTGTTGATTAATTTGGATTTTTTTTAGTGAGTTTTGAAAACAATATTAACAAGATACATATTCATGTATACAGCTTAGCAGGATGGAAGAAAACCCCTTGTTTTTATGGATTAGGAAGATGAGCATGTTGCATGAATTATCCGTGTGTATAATTGGTCTTAATGAATATTTTAAACAGAGGGCATATCAGATACTGTCTCGGTGTTTTGTCCTATGTTTTTGAAGATGACATTAATGAAGTCATGTTCTTGGCGATGAAAAATAGTTTGAAAGGATGAGGGCAAATTAGTTTAATGATTCTAAAACTGCATTATTTAAACAGTTAAAAATTAAGATCCTTCACAAAAACAACCCCTTCAGAATACCTTTCTTATTCTCAAATGACTGGCTGGTGTTGAGGGAAAGGCATCTGCAATATCTCATCCAAGCTGGCTTCTTACGTGGTGGTTGTACCTCTGCTCATAGTTATGAGCCTTCCGTTTTATCGTTATGGTGCTGGAGTAATTCATGGCAGAGGATGTGCGGTAAACAGTGATTCTTTGAAAGCTTTTGCTTTAGTTTTTTAAGGTGCCATGCAGCAAATAAGATTTTATTCTTAGTTGTTTTTACTGTTAAAATAGGTCGCAAATACAGTGCCTTCGCTTATTCCTGTGGAGTGAAGATTTCCAATGCGGAACCACACGTTAACGTGCATGTGAATGTATTGTTGTTGTGTGCAAGTGAGATAATGAACTTTAAATAACTATATTGGAGTATTACTTAAGTGTCATCCCCCAAGTGGGGTGAAATAGGCGGACTCTGCCATCTCTTGCTTTCTCTTCTTGGACTTGGAAGCCTCTAGGACTGCAGCAGGCACTTCTGAATTGACTGTTTTATGCCACACATGATGTTTGCTCTGGCTTCAGGGTGGGATTCTCGGGATATTAAGGCTTTTCTTTTCATTCTGACTTTTTTATTTGTAAGCTAAGGAACCTTTGCTTTGCCAAGTTGTCATCTGGGTTGTTTTCAAAGTACACGTGCATATTTCTCCTGCCCCAAAAAAAAAAAAAAGAAAGAGTTGTTCGAGCTCTGAAAGGAGGTGAACTCTGTGCTCCAAATCTGGCTTTGAACTTTTTCAGAGATGTGGAGATTGCAGAATGAAAACCTGCAAAAGCAGGGAGGTCACGTCTCCTGCAATCCCGGCTTCACCGAGGCTGGCGCCTGCAGCCATTATTAAGGTCATTTGTGAGATTCTGTGTTGGTGATTTTAGAGCACTGGGATGGAAATAGAGCTTTAAGAAAAAAAGGAAGGTCTGGAAAGGCCTAACGCTTTGGAAATTACAGAGCACAATAATAGGCTGCTTATTTGTTCCTAAACTTGTCCTGATTTCAGTGGAAGGTACACAGACTCGGAGTATGGGCTGTTGAGCAAGGATCAGAACGGGAGTTAAGGTGGGAGCGGAGCAAGTGGAGCTCAGCGAAGGGATGTCAGTATGAAGAAATGTGCAGTGTGAGCCTGTCACCTGTGACAAAGAATGCTAATTACATTCTCAGATCACTCTTACATCAAATAAGCACACTTTAAAAACACTTCAGTTATGTGTATGTGGTATTTCTGTCTGTTGCATCATGGAGTGTCAGAGCTCATCTGTATGATTAATTGCCTTTTTGATTACTTAGCTTTTTCAATTAGAAGCTTGGTATTTGTGTTCTTCAGTGCTGCTGAAAAAACAATGCAGACATTGATAATAAAGGGAGATGACAACAGAACAGATTAGTGTCAGCACAGCGTGCTCCTTATGGAGAAAATTACTATACATATTCAGTGCCAGATGAAGTCTGTCAATTATAAAATATTTCAGTGACTGAGTGAAGATGCTCAACCTTTTCAGAGGATTAATACAGGACAAAATAACTGTGCACCAGTGACAGCTGTGATGCTAAAACATAAACAATTCTATTCTCCAGGGCAATATCTGTTCATAAATTTGGTTTATGTGCTAAAAACCTTTTGATACTTTCCGAAAACCCAGCGATTCCCCTAACAGCTGCCAGTGTTTCTAGGTCAAAGATAGCACATAAGCTATGAGTTATTACGTGCTCCACAGCAGCAAAGCAAAATGAGATAGCTTAACAAAGGAGTTAAAGAATAACCTTCTCATACTGTGTATCTGACTAGGATGTAAAGCTGTTATGTAAGAGTTCGCACGTTAAGCTTTGAGAAAAATTTGTCGGTGTTTTTCATTGTCTGCTGCCAGGCTGATGGTGCTCCTTGACTGCAGAGGCAGACCCCAGAGATAGCGGCATCCAAATCATTGACATATGTGTTACCTTACATTGTCTTAATTATTTACTATAATAAGGTGGCATTAGTGGTATTTTCAACCGTTTGCTTTTAATTTTTTAAATAGCAGAGCAAGAAAAAGGAAAACAAACATCTCAGGCAGGTTGAGCAGCTTGTTACCTGGAAGAACGATCCCATGGCCTCTTCCTCTAACGTAGTCTTACGTGTGTATCCACACACACGCTCACACGCTTCTATCCTCTTGTATTCCTGCACTGGAACAGGCTGCCCAGAGAAGCTGTGGCTGCCCCATCCCTGGAGGTGTTCAAGGCCAGGCTGGATGGGGCAGGAAGGACGTGGACCTGTTAGAGCGGGTCCACAGGAGGGTCACAAAGATGATCAGAGGACGGAGCATCTCTCCTATGAAGACAGGCTGAGAGAGTTGGGGTTGTTCAGCCTGGAGTAGAGAAGGCTCCGGGGAGACTTTAGAGCCCCTTCCAGTATCTGAAGGAGGCCTGCAGGAAAGCTGGAGAGGGACTTTTTACAAGCGCATGTAGTGATAGGACGAGGGGGAATGGCTTCAAACTGGAAGACAGTAGATTTAGATTAGATTTTAGGAAGAAATTTTTCACTCTGAGGGTGGTGAGCCCCTGGCCCAGGTTGCCCAGAGAAGCTGTGGCTGCCCCATCCCTGGAGGGGTTCAAGGCCAGGTTGGAAGGGGCTTGGAGCAACCTGGGCTGGTGGGAGGTATCCCTGCCCATGGCAGGGGGGTTGGAACTCGATGATCTTCAAGGTTCCTTCCAACCCAAACCGTTCTATGATTCATCATTGTTCTGTTCAGCTCCTCCGTGTCCATCATCCTTCCATCATGCCACTGGTTTCAATGTCAATTCCAAGCCCTTTATAACCATGTTTGCATCTCTGGTGTCGCCGTGATACGTAGGTTCCAGTCAACATCGACAGTTGCATTAATTTTGCCTACAGAGCAGCTGATGCCCTGTCGCTCCTTCACCCAGTTGCTTTTGCCTTAGAATATCTTTGCTCCCTCTCATGGCTGTAGTTTTGGCGTCGTGCAGACATTCACGATGAGGGGCATCTCTGCGTGCTTCTTTCGCTTCGAGAATGATGCAACTCTCCCTAGTTCAACTTTTCTTCGGCAAATCCAACTATTTTCATGTTACGCTGCTTCATAATACTATTATGCTTCGTTACGAGAATCATGCCCCTAGTCATAGGAGCAGAAGAAAGTTAATTTTAATACACTGCTGTATGACACAACTACTTAATTTATCAGTGTGAATGAGCAAGATATGTATCCCAATATTAATCAGGATATTTCTTGCTTGAGCTAAGTTTTTATGCTTGTGAGTGTCCTAGAAATACTTTCAGTAAGTATTGAGTAGTATGTGTGTGAATATGCAAACAGAGTAAGGTAATAAAATTATTCTGTTAGTATTTGGAGATTTCAGCATTATGTTAGATAAACTACAGATGTATCAATCAACAAGTTACTGCCCTGATAGGTCTTCCTTGCCGATTCTATTATTTCTGTGCATGTCCTTGCTGACATAGGTGGCCTTTGCACAGTGATGCTACTGCGCCGTACAGGGCTTACTCCTAGATCAGAGCCTGAGAATATAGACGTAAGTTCTGGAAATGTGATCCTCTTATCTGCATTCAGTTTTTCATGGCTTAAATTTTGAGGAAGGATTTGCAAATCGTAGGTTCGGCACTTAATTTGGGGATTCTACTTACCATGTAGGCTGTCAAGGAGCATTAACCTTAAGGTAAGACGAGCACACAGAGCACAAAGCTGTGAGCTGATGGCACATACTATACCAGGTGTTAAATAGTATTATCCATCCTGCTTGCTACAGTAAATAGGATTTCGCTATTATGATGTGTCAGGATTTTCAGAGAAATCAAATTTACTAGACACTAAACTGCCATCCTCGCTGCTGAGCAGCTTTATTCTGGGATCC